TGACAATGGAGCATTCACAATTGAGCTCAGCAATGAGTTATCAAATGAAGACTTGGCGGAATTGCAGGGCAATGATTTATGGATGATAAGAGGCCGACTGCAATCGCGGCATGTTAGAGCAAGACAGTATTATGTCTACATTATAATCGATAGGTCGTTATCAGGCCGACAAGCAATCGCTCACTATTATTGTTCGTGCATCATAGGAAAGCAAACAATTGGATGCTGCTCCCATATTATGTGCATTATATGGTACATAAGCCATGCACGACATTTTCCAGCAATAACTCCTCCAGCTTATGGATTGGTGAACATTATTGTTGTACCAGACGATGATGATTTTATAGTGTTTAATTAAACAAAATAACCCCTGTATACTTATTTTACTTATAATCCTCAAAAACACAAAACAAGATCAACATGTCCAAAATAGGTCAAGAACCAATATATTTTACTAAACGATGTTCAAAATAAAAATATGGTAGAACAAATCAATTTTTTTTTTTGTTTTTTAAATTCACTGAAAATGTATGAAGATGTTGAATTTTTTGAACTCCAATAAAACCAAGGACAATGACCCTACAGCTTTGGTGTCATAATAATAAATACTCAGGGGGACAAGTTCTAACGGAATACAGCATATTTTTTTTATTGGCCGGCACTTTTATATTTGGACCAAAAATGTATGAAATCCCGATGATGTCATTTTGACACTGTGTTAATGATCGTAATAGCTCAAGTGGATATCGGGTGGTCGCTAAAATCGTAGTGCCTTGGTTCGCGTCCTGTCTTCGGTGCAATTGTTTTTCCTTTTTTTTCAAGTTCCCTTCTTTTGTGAGAAAATCTATTATTTCAAGCCCTTTTTTTAGTACTTTTTAAAAAATGCCGGATGACCGAGCAAATGTCGATCATCCAGGTACTTATTTTTATTTAAGTAAAGTAAGTTAACATGCATTATCTTTCTTTTTAAAGTTTTATACAGCGGTCCGGTCACACTATTTTTTTATCTAAACCATAAATATTAACACTCACATTAGGATTCATTTCCTCGAATAATTTAATATCATTAAAACTTGGAGGAAATAACATATTATCTGTAATTAAAACTTCTGAGTAATGAGAGTATGAATTCACTCTATTAGGATTACTTGAAGTTGGATACAAATGAGCTAAAATACTGTAAAGAAAGCAATGTTTATCATTGTTTTTAAATTCAAGCATGATTTCGTATTACGTATTTTTTCAGGTAATGGTATATACGAATCAAATATTAGCGATTATATTTTAGTGTCTTATGGCCTCAATAGTCCAACCTGATTCGCAAAGCTCGAATTCTGAACACTTGTTCGTTATTTTTTTTTGCAAAACTATTATAAACGGATGATAGACCAGTGTTTTTGTATATAATTTCATATTTAGTATTAAAAGATTTAATAGATGATTCATTATTCTTGGGTAAAGTGTATGTAACAAACGGTTCATAATTAATTTTTTATGCTGTATGTTTCAACATTTTTTTAATTAGTTGAAGAGATGTGAGTGAAATATCAGATAAGAAAATTTCTGGTGAAATAGTTAATTTTTCAGGACTAATTCTGTAAGTGACAATTCTATTCTTGAAAGCACATCCTATTATATTTACATTATCAAACTCGGTTTGTAGTATGCAGTTGGACTTGTGAATATAGGACTTTTGATGAGAGGAATAATGTTCAACATGCACGCCACAGGGCTTGCAGAAAAACATTTTTTTAAATTATTATTCTTATGAATACATATTTAAAAAAATATTTATTATAATAAAATATAGTTTTTTTGGTTGTTCGATTTAGAATTTTAGTTTTATAGCTTTATTTTGATTTTATGTTTATGTTATTAAAAGTGTTAAGCCGGATACCAAATATTTCAAAAAATAAATAATTAAACACTTATTATATTACTACACTAAAATATAGTTCATATTTAAAATTTTAGTTTTATGGTTTATTATTTTGATTTTCGATTTTATCTGAATTTGAATTTAAGTCAAATAGAAATTTATGATAGACTTCGATTGACCTTTCACGATGAAGCCCTATCTCGTGCCACTGTTTATAACTGGTTTAATGAGTTTAAACGTGATCACACTAATCTCACTGATGATCTCGGTTAGGGACGGCCTTCTACAGCGACGACTGAAGATAACATCAGTGTTACGTATGATAGAGACTAACAAAAGAGTGACTTATCAGCAGATTCGGACAAGCTTAGGCATCGGTATGAGTCAAGTGCACTAAATTCTCCGTGAACATTTAGCGGTCAGGAAGCTTTGTACCCGGTGGATACCTCATAACATGACAGAGGCCCAAAAACTCCGTCGATTGGTGTCGTGAAATGGTTCAAAGATTTAACGGGATTGACTCAAATGCTGTGTTCGAAATACTTACCGGTGACGAAAGCTGGATTTATTATTGTTATGATCTTGAAACTAAGAGACAGTCTGTTGTCTGGGTGTTTCCTTCCGAGGAGTTGCCGACAGAAGTGAAGAGGTCGAAGCGTGGGAAAAAAGATGGTGGGCTCGTTCTTCGGAAGGACATGTTATTACGCAACACTTGTTTTAGAGGATCGAAAAATAGTTACTGCTGAGTGGTACACAAACAATTGCTTGCCACTTGTCTTGGAAAAAGTTCGGGAGAAACGACCTCACAGTAGGATCCTCTTTCACCACGACAACGCCTCTTCGCACACCGCCAAGCAAACAATTGACTACTTGGCAACGTCACACGTGGAATTACTGGGTCACCCGCCCTATAGCCCCGACCCCGCATCTTGCGATTTTTATTTATTTCCGAAAATAAATGAAAAACTTCGGGGAAAAAGTTTTATGGACGCCGAGGAAGCAGTGGCGCGTTTCAAAATATAGTCGAAGAGACCTCTAAGGACGAGTGGACTAAGTGCTTTTCTCAGTGGTTCCATCGGATGCAGCAATGTATTGATGTAAACGGACACTGTTTTGAAAAGATACAATAAAACTAATAACTTACTAGTTTGTTCAGTTTTTGATATTGTTAAGAGCTTAGGGTTCGTGACAATAAAAACAGCCGATTGAATTACCAAAATTGACACTTTTATTGCCGAACACCAATTAAACCTTATAACACACTAATAATTTATCACATTTAACACTTTAGTTCACTTTATTTCGCACCTAAGTCTTCTTCACTTCACTTGTATCGCCAATTCAATACTGCTCCGGTCGCGGCCCTAAACGGCTTTATATAGATCTTTTCCACCGAAACATCTAGAATGTTCCGGAAAATATCGGTCCAGACCGAATAAATGTAGAAAATTCGAGTGTGGAGTTATCTAGAAAGCTCAGTTCTTCTATTCGATAATAGATGGCGCTAGTGCCATCAACTGTGGTGCGCAACAATATTCTAAGAACTTTTAGTGTCACCTTCGTATCATAGTTCCTTTTATTTTGTTTGTGTGAATTGTTTTTGCGGCTTGGTACTGCACATTCACCATGATAAAATTTCTATTGAGAGAAATAATTAACGCGCGTGACCAATGTCATCCTGACCATTTCGAGACAGTTCTGACTTGCTTTGTTCTATAGTTTACTTATAAATACTCTAAGTTTCTATCTATCCTTGGAAATTTTTTTTGACATTTTAACTTAGTTTAGGATGGGCTGTTTTCCGAAACTCCACGTCTAAGTGGTAAGTTTATTAGCGCCGACCCTCTTAGTTTCCTTTCACATACTCTCCATCGTCTTTAGGAGAAAAGATGTGAGGCTAATGGGTCTGAAGGATTTAGTGTCTGTATAGTCGCTCATACCTGGTTTGGGTATGAACGTGACTTTCGCTTCCCTCCATCCCCTAGGAATATATTTAAGAGCCAGACATGCTCTCATTATGGCAACACGTCTGACTGTTAGGGCTTTACACTAGGAGTGCCGGTAATATGCCATTATGTCCTGCCGCCTTATAGGGAGGAAACTATGAATGGCCCAATGGATTTTACCAATCGTAACCACTCTCTATGATAAATTCCAGTCTTCTTCTGTTGGTGTTAGTGTATCTTTATGCTGGTTTACCCCTTCAACTACGCAGTAACCTGGGAAGCGGATTTAAATTAGAATGCGTTGGGTTTCATCCGACGAAGTTGAGTAGCTTCCGTCGGGTTTCTTTAGAGATATGGATCCCGGCGTGTTCTGTTTGGTTAGGATTTTCCTTATCCAATTCGCTTGTTCACAGGTTTCTATATTACCACAGAATTTACGCCACCCTGTCGAACGTCGATACCTGATACAATTTTTTATTCAGGCTTAGCTTTCTTGTATAGTAGCCACTCTTCATCGACTGAGGTGTTCATGGCACTATTAACCTTTTGAGCGCCACGCCAAAAACGCATTACCGTGTCCTGTACGCCAAAACGAAAAGTAAACAAAAATACCTACGAAAAAAACAGTGTTGCCAAGAGTTGATATATCGATATCACAAAATAACTTGATTTAGTCATTGACTTATTTATATATTACTAGCGTAAGGACCGGGCCAACCGAACAACTAAAACAGACCAGTGCGCTGGCCCTAAAATTACAGTTTAGGGCCAACGCGAATTGGTCGATAATGGTGCGCGCGCAGGACTGATTTGCCTGCACAAATATGTCTAGTTGCGCGGTAAAAGAATGCAAAAATTACGATACAAAGATTTTAAAAAAACATGGGTAATCGTATCATCGATAAATAACTTTATATTAATTTGTTTACAGTAAAATTTTTATAAAAACGTATTTTTAAAGTTTCATTTGACAGTTAGGGATGATTTTCATTAGAGCGGGCCGTGCCAGGGCCGGGGCGTGGACGAGCTGGGGCCCGTCCGTGTTACGCAATTTATATTACACCGAGTGTTAAACGGGTTAATACGCCGCCACAGTCGCTTCTAGGTAGTGTAGTGATGTGAATAACTCCCGATTATTGTTTTTTTTTATAATGATGGAGTTTTCTTTACTGGAGATGGCTGCTAATGCGATAGCTATTGATGAAGAGGAAGCAGAAATTAGGATTAAGAAGAAACGGGCTAAACGAAAGTGGAGTGTGCATCCTCTTTGGAGAATGCGTAATTTTAACGGAGAATTTAACACCTTATGCAGATACTTAGCAGACGATGAAGATAAATTCTTTGGATATTTTAGAATGTCCAAAGAAAACTTTGACATTTTACTAAATGAGCTGAAGCCCGCACTTAGAAGACATCAGACGAGATTAAAGACACTAATAGAACCTAAACAACGTTTAGCAGTATGTCTCAGGTAATCACTATAAAATAAATAGCTAATGTTATTGTACTTGTTTATGTATTACAACACAAATAATTACTAGGTATGTTAGAAATGAATTATTTATTTAACTTTTTTATTATGTAAGATATTTCTATTATTTTATGATGCTTCAACCCGTGGAGTCGGATTTTGGGGACAACTACGTAAAAAATGTTGATAGATCTGAGTCTAAAGAATTATCCTCTTGTTGTGTCAATGGTGGTGGCGGTGGCGGCGGGGGTGTCGGAGTATACTGCTGGAGATACTGAACCCGATGTTGGTGACGTATAAGATCAGAGCTCAACCATTTCCATTCTAATTCCTGAACAACTTGGAATATTCTTCCTTTTGCTAAGTGTTGATAATAGGGGGATAATTTTTTGACCGTCGGTATCAAGCCCTTGAAAAAAGCATCGATATGATCAACTTCCTCCTTGTTTTTTTTTGTTGTCAATAATATATTTCATGAGTGAAGCAGAAGCCGAAAGTTCTGATGATGAAGACGAAGGTTGTGAGGTCGTTTTCTTCTGCGGACGAGCACAAGCTTGACTATTTTTAATGTACTTGTACGTTGAGATAAATTACGTGAAGTTGTAGGTGTATAATTTGCTGGAGTATAATTTAGCGTACGTTTGTTGGAGTATCATTTAATGGAGCAGTTGGAGTTTCATTTAATGCAGGAGTTGGAGTTTCATTTATTGCAGTTGTTGGAGTGTTCGTATATCTTGAGACGTCTCTTCAGATTCATTGTCGTTAGAAATATTTTCGATCACTTCTCTGTCCTCTAAATGTACAACCAAAAATTGTAGCATATCCTCGTATTTATATTTCCTGCTGCTTGGCCGCTTTTCAATTGTCCTTTATTTAAATTTTTTTAAATTGGTCCCTTATATTCGTCCATCTTGATCTACAAGCGGTAGCTGAAACAAACGATCATAAACATAATTTTGATAATTTTGTGAATGTCGAGTTAATAGACGTTAAATAGGTTAATAAATAGATTAATAGTTAAGTAGACGACCTCCATAGTGAAACGGAAAAACCTGCTCGATTTACCATTCCGAAGTCCCCGATTTGAATTTCGGTTGAGCAAGTTGGAAAAATTTTCAGCATTTTAGACGTTTATCTGTATATGTATTTATTATAAAATATTTATTTATTTAATATAGTATGGTTAAGTAAGTATCCTCTGACACATGTCTCAAACTTATGTGATTTGTATTCCCTTTATATTTAAAATTTGAAATCTTGTTTTTCAGATACGACAACTGGAGATCCCTACTTGACTATTTCATTCAGTTTTCGGTTGGTTCATACAACCGTCCATGAAATTGTAAAGAGCACGTGTCTTGCTATTGTTAATGTACTTCTAAAAAAGTTATGCCCCAACCGTTAGAAGATAATTAGAAACAGATAGCACATGACTTTGAAACTTTGTGGAAATTTCCTAACTCTATTGGGGCTTTGGATGGAAAGCATTTTGTCATTGAGGCACCACCTAATAGCGGTTCTATATTTTATAACTATAAGAACACTTTTTCCATCGTACCTTTAGAACTCGCCGTTACAAATTATACAGTTAATGTTGGATCATATGGAAGAAATGTGATGGTGGCATTTCTGCAAAGTGTTTTTAGGAGAAAGAGTCTACGATATTATTCCATTCGTTATAATAGGATGTAGCGTTTCTTTGTAAGTGGGGGTGTAAAACTATATAATGCGACCTTACCCAGCTAGCCAGATAGTAGGAGATGCTGCTAAGTCACATTTTAATAAAAGATTAATGCTAGCACGTCGTCTAGTTGAATGTGCTTTTGGTATTTTAGCACAAAGATTCAGATTGTTTTTTAGAAGAATCAAAATGGCACCAAAAATGTTATGATAAAATAAATGTATATTAGCGACTTGCATACTTCATAACTTTTTACGCAGCAAAAATGACATGACTTTTACACCACGTTATACAGAACAATCTATATCAGAATTAAGTCAGTCTATTCTTAATCCACTAGGACCACAACATCACAGACAATATACTAACGATGCATTTGCGGTCAGAGAAAATTTTAAGAACTACTTTTATCACCATCCGGATATTTTTAATAATTACAGTTGGTTATAGGATTTATATGTATCCAGGTTGCCATACTAAACAGTATACCAGTCTGGACACATATATCCCATAACTGATTGTACAAAAAAGATAACAAACAAACAAAAAGAAACAATAATAAGTATCATAGTTTTCTATAAAGGTACATAAAAAAGCATGTTTGCTAGTACAGTTCATAAAAGATAGCTTGATCTCTGCGACAGCTGTCAGTAAAATCACGCCTATGAAGTCCTGAATTTCTTAGTAGTACAGACACACAGACAGTACCTGTCAATGTCATACTTTATGGGCATGCCGACCTAATTAGTGCCGCCATCTTGTTTGATATGAACCTCCATTCTCTTCAGGGGTACGAGTGCCGACGCCTTGTATACACTACGTGTTTTCCGTTCTCATTACTTTGTTTTTGTTACTATTGCTGTTACTGTATGTTAATTTGTTGAGTTTTGTTATCTTTTGTTATTATTGTTAGTTTCTTGTTGGCATAATGCCAAAGAGAACGAAGAAAACCGTTTTGAACAGTCAAAGTCGTGAGCTTGTGATTCGCTTACGTGAATATTTTAGAATAGAATAGAATAGAATATCGTTTATTTCTTAGTATATGGTAATTACAGATGTTGAAATTATAGAATGATTCACATATACTACCGTATCCGGTGTAGAAATATTACAATTAGAATAATATTTAACACTTTATAGTACTTATTTAGACAAATTTATACATTTATAACATTATATAGGAATTATCAATTGTAGATATATATTATTATTATTATTAATACAATATTGGGAGCATTCATTTATGTATAATTTATAAATTTATAATCTATGAAATCGTTAACAGAATAAAAACACATATCCAAGAGCCAAGAAAATATTGCACGTTTAAATTTATTTATAGGCAACTGTCTAATCTGTGGTGGCAGCTTATTAAAGATTGTTATTGCCGTGCAGTGGGCATTGCGACTATACAAATAAAGTCTTTGGGATGGTGCCACCAATTGGTTTGGGTTTCTGTCTTGGATCCTCTTGGAAACACGTTCATTTATTGGAAATAGATAGGAATATCTCTTAACGAACAAACATATTTCAAAAATGTAGAGACAGGGCAGTGGAAGTATCTTTAATTTTTGAAATAATGGCTTACAATGATCTAAATAATTAGCGCCACACATGGATCTAATACATTTTTTTTGTGCTTTAAACGCCCTGCCTATATTCACTGAATTACCCCATATAACTAATCCATAGCGAAGTACTGAAGAGACGTACCCATGATATGCACTGAGGACTGTTTCTTTACTGGCTGTGAGTCTTAGTTTGCGAAGAGCAAATACAAATTTATCGAGTTTACTACACACTTTATCTACATGTTCTTTCCAGTTCAATTTACCATCAATAATTATACCTAAAAATAATGTAGATTGTACTGGTTGCAAAACAGTATTATTATATTGTATTTTAACAGGGTGGCACTTTGAATTTAGAGTTTGGTACTGTATTAATTTAGTTTTATTTAAATTGACATGTAGATTATTCTCTTGTAGCCATTGCACTGCATTTTGTAACTCATTATTAGTTTCAAATTCGAGATTATTTTTGTTTAAACAGCTTATGGTTAGTGTAGTGTCGTCAGCAAACAATGTGCATTTATGTTTTAGGTTACTACAGAGATCATTAATATAAATAATGAATAAAAATGGCCCTAGAATGCTGCCCTGCGGCACACCACAACTATTAGGTTTAAGTTCAGATTCATATGTAACTTTCGAATTATTTTCTATTTTTGAGAGTAACGTTCTTTGCTGGCGATTCGACAGATAGCTTTTAAACCAATCATGTGACTTTCCTCTAATTCCATACCTCTCAAGTTTGAAAAGTAATCGTTTATGCGAGACAAAGTCAAATGCTTTGCTCATATCTAGAAATATTGATATTGTCGACATTTTGTTATTAAGTGCTTCTGTGACCAGCTTAACTAAATTAAAGCAAGCTAGTGTAGTGGAACTACTTTTTCTAAATCCAAATTGATTGTCAACAAGAATTTTATTCTTATTAATATAATTACTAATTTTATCATGCATTACTTTTTCGAAAATTTTTGCAATTATTGGTATTAATGTGATAGGCCTATAATTATCAATGTTTGTACGATCACCTTTTTTTAAATAGAGGTCTAATTATGGATATTTTTAGTCTTGTAGGAAATATTCCTTGTTCTAACGACAAATTAATTATGTAACTCAGAGAAATTGCTATATGTTTAGCACTTAATTTAATTATTCTTGTTGTGAGTTCATCATAACCGGTAGCGTGTGTATCATTCAAAGTGTTAATAATTTTCATAACGTCAGTGTCGGTTACTGGGGTTAAAAACAAGCTATCTCTTTGAGCGGGAATATTAATGTTATTCAAGTCATTATTCAATTCATCAAAATTATCTTTATGAGTAAGTTCAATAAAATAGTTGTTAATAAGGTTACATATATCATTAGGGTTATTAATAGTTTTATCTTGGTAAACTAAGTTTTCAATATTACTTTTATCAACAGAACTATCAAAATTATGTTTTATAATAGACCATGTCGCTTTACATTTATTTTTAGAGTTAAAAATATATTTATCATTATTTATTCGTTGAGATTTTGATATACATTTCTTTAATATTTTAGAATATATAAGATAATTTTTCTTGTGAAAGTTTTTGCTTATAGCATCATGTATATATTTATAATATAATGTTCTTTTTTTAATGCACGATAATTTTAATCCCTTACTTATCCATTTATTTTTTACAGGTTTATTGCCTTTCTTAACGCGTATTACGGGAAAACACAATTTGAAAAAACCGGCCAAGAGCGTGTCGGGCCACGCTCAGTGTAGGGTTCCGTAGTTTCCCGTCCGTCACAATAAGTGTTCCCACTTATGAGTTTAAAGGTGGGTATCCATTATGTTCGCGCTCCAGCAGCGCTCCGCGCTCCTGCAACTGCTCCCGGTAGTGGGTACGTGCGCGAGCATGGAGCGTGCAAAATTGCACGCTCCGCGGCAGGCGATGCCAAGGAGAGACCAACCGAACAATTCGATAATACCCGACCCAATGTAATAAGTACCTACAGCGCCATCTCTCGGGGAATTGGGTTACTAATTAATACATAGACGTGTCAGAAGTTTTCGGTGGTAATTTTGGATAATTTTTTAATAATTCTTTTTTTGTTTGAAAAAAGATACGTTCAGGATAATAAAATATGTAAACGAAGTTAAAAAAAATGCCTGTTTAAACGATTATACTACAAACTTAGTCCAGAAATTATTTTGTACAACTTTTTGTCTTTTTTGTACAAAAACTGTTTCCATCCAGGTTCAAAATAATTTTCCTAGAAAGTCCTTATAAAGTTCTACCTTTCAGATTTTTTTCATATTTTCTAAACCTATGGTTCAAAAGTTAGAGGGGGGGGACACATTGTTTTTCACTTTTGGAGCGATTATTTCTGAAATTATTGACATTATCAAAAAATGGTTTTAGTAAACCCCTATTCATTTTTAAATACCTTTCCAACAATATATCACACGTAAGGGTTGAAATTAAAAAAAAAAAGTACTTCCCACTTTACATATAGGGGGGCTACCCTAATAAAACATTTTTTTCCAATTTTTATTTTACCACTTTGTCGGCGTCATTGATACACATATTGGTACCAAATTTCAGCTTTCTAGTGCTAACGGTCACAGAGATTAAGCGAGGACGGACAGACGGACAGACAGACATGGCGAAACTATAAGGGTTCCTATTTGACTACGGAACCCTAAAAAAAGAGTATAAAGGTCATGAAAAACGTTAAACGACTTGTTGCAGCATGTTTCTCTGTATACTTCATCAAAACTTAAAGCTGTTATGCATTCTAGAAATTTATTAATGTTATTTTCATTGAAATCTCTCACAGTCTCATACCAAAATTTTATTGATTTAACATTATTGTTATTTTTTGGAAGATAGAAAATTAATGATTGACCTGTATCATGGTCCGAGAGAGCTAAGTTATGTATATTAGTATTCACATTATTGGTTGAAATATTACTGGCTATTTGGTCAATACTAGATTTTCTTCTAGTAGGTAAGTTTATGTGAGTTAGCAAATTAAAGTTCTTGAGGACTGATATTAATTCCTTTTTCTGCGTATTCTCTTTGAGAACGTCTATGTTCCAATCTCCACATATA